TTAGGGTTTGGGGTTTGGGCTTGAGTTGAGGTTTCGTGTGTCGGGTGTAAAGCAGGTCCCCTTAATGACAGCTACGTATAAGGAATTTGTATAGGGGCTGCAAGGGTTCTACAAGGCTTCATCAGCTTTCTCTAGGGCTTTGGGGGCTTGTTTACTGGTTCCTTGTTGGGGATATATTAAAAATGATCATTTTTAACCCTTATTGGGGCTTTATTATGGCAAAAATGTAAAATTGTATCCAACAAGTACCCAGTTTAGAAGCTTAGGATCCGGAGGGAGTCTTGGCTTTGGGCATGTCTAGGGCTTACGGCTCAGGGCTTTTATGATCCTTCAAAAAGTTTAGGGTTTAGGGTCACCTCTGAGCCCAAACTCTACAAAATAGTAGGTTATGACCCCTTAGTTAGAGGGTAGAACCCCTACAAGTGTGATTAAGTCATGATCCTTAATGTGAGGGCTTTTAGGATTTGGTGTTTGAGGCTATGTGTAAAGGGCTTAGGGCTAAGAGCTGAAGCTCTAGTGTGACGCGCGCTTAGAGTTAGCGTACAGCGCCCGTCTCAGGGACAAGCAGCACCGATGAATTTTGGGATTTTAGGTTTAGGCTTAGGTTGAATCAGTTAGTTTCAGACAAGGCGCACATGCCTGGAACCCACCTGAGAGACAAATCGGAATGCACGAGCGACGTGGCTTGATTCACTCGCAGCTCAGACTCTACTCTCCAGGTCAGAAGAACTTAGTGCTAGAGGCTGCCATGCAATCCGGCCTAGCATGCTTCCCTCAGTGGGCATCCTGCCACTCGCTTGGTTTGAAGACCGAAACAAGCCCACTCAAGATACAGGAATAGACCGTAAACCCAAAGTTTCCGGTCATTTGGGATCATAGAAAGGATCAAAAGATGGGGTCCTATTCTGAGGACCCCGACATTTCACGAAGCCCCTGAACCGCAAAAAAAACCTATATCCTGAAACCCTAAAACCTCTAGTCCTAAATCCGTAAGCCCTCAAGCCCTATACCCTCAACACCCAAGACCCAAAACGCACCAGGCCTGAAGTCTTAAATCCCTAAACCCTGGACCCTCATAGTACCCTTATGGATCCCTGAAAGGAACCCCCCTAAAAGGTGACCTCAAGCCTCAACTAAGAGAATCCGATGGCTTTGGGGTTGGAGGATAATATCGGTGCCTTAATTTGTACACTAGCGTTTCGAGGTGCACTATAGTCACAATAAGGAACCCTGAGGAATACTGTTCTACCTACTACAGCCGCTTGATGAAACCCTACCTTAAACCCTAAACCCTAAAAATCCTTAGACCCTAAACCCTGAACATCCTTTGACCCCAAACCCTAAAAATCCTTAGACCCTAAACCCTAACAATCCTTGGACCCTAAACCCTAAAAGACCTTAGACCCTCAACCCTAACAATCCTTAGACCCTAAACACTAAAAATCCTTAGACCCTATATAAATTAGACCCTGAACCCTAAAAATCCTTAGACCCTCAACCCTAAAAATCCCTGGACCCTGAACCCTAGCACTCCTTAGACCCTAAACCCTAAAAATCCTTAGACCCGAAAACCCTAAACCCTAAAACCCTAAAACCCTAAAACCCTAAAGCCCTAAAACCCTAAAACCCTAAACCCCTAAAAACCCTAAAACCCAAGACCTTTCCTGCGGGAGAAGCGGCCAGCGCCCCGATGGCAATGGCCAGCGGCCCAGAGGAACCTAGAGGGCTTAGCGGTTTAGGGTGGGGTCTTATAAGGGGGCTTCCATAAAGGGATCTATAGGGGTTTAGGGGTTTAGGGTCTTATAAGGGATTAGGGCTTAGGGTTTAGGGTCTTTTAGGGCTTGGGGTTTAGGGTTTAGGGTTTAGGTTTTAGGTTCCTATACGGGATGTAGAAAGGAACAACGAGGTCTAAGATCTTTTTATTCAGGGTTTTAGGTTTCGGGTCCAATGAGCTCGTTCCCTCCTCTTCCGCAGGGCCTGGCTGGGGTACTTGGGGCAGGTGGGGTACTTGGGGCAGGTGGGGTAGTGGGGGCAGGCGGGGTAGGCCGGGTAGGTGGGGTAGGCGGGGTAGGTAGGACAAAGTTACGTCTAAGAGACAGAAAAAGTTACATCTAAGAGAAAAAAGTTACAACTCAGCCTGTTACCCTTCCCTAAACCCTATAAGCCCTAAACCCGAAACCGTGGACTCTGCATCGCATTCTCCACTTCCCTTACCTGCCTTGGCAAGCTCGGCATCGAAGACAACCACCTCCGCAAAGCCCTCGCTGTTGGTGTTCCTTTTCGACAAGCGGTTGCATGGTTTAGTGCTTCAGGGGTTCACGGGCTTAGGGTCCAGGGCTTGGCTACTGTCAAGGCATTGCGTAGAATTTGCACTAAAGGCCGACTAGCAACAAGGAGATCGGTGATGGTTGCTGGCAAGCCACAGCAGCCAAATGTGTCCAGTCCTGTAGTCATGATGTACACCGATGACAGTCTGAGCCGATGCCTTTGTCGTACCCGTGTGGGAATCCACGACCTCCACCACGTCCTTCCGGGCTTCCGAAGGTTTTTTTGGGGATCTAGGATTCGCAAATCCTAAGCCGTAAACCCGAAGGGTTTAGGGTTCAAGGGTACCGCTACGAAGCGCCACAAAAAGGCCGCTTTAAGCCATCCTGAGATGGTCGACGTCGTCGCAAGGAGATCAGCATATGGAGTGGATGAAGCCTCGGATGCCCACTTAGGGTTCAGTGTTTAGGGTTTAGGGTATTGGTTACCTTCATTAAAAATCCTAAAAGCGAAAAAAGGGCCCATTGGAGACCTAGAAGCTCATGCCGATGCGTTGGGCACAGAGTGACGACCTGCATTGTGAAACACGAGGACATTTGATACTAATCCCAAAGGGCTTAGGGGTTTAGGGGTTTAGGGTTTAGGGCTTAGGGTTTAGGGTTTAGGGTTTGGGTGAATGCTAAGCCTTACATGCCCTAGCTCAACCCCCACCCCGAAGGATTCCCACCTTAAGGACCCCCAAAGTCACGAGGAGTTCTTATTTCAGGTATTCGGATTTCCCAGAAATCGAGCCCCAAATCTAAGAGAACCGCCCGGTGGTTCAAGGCCCAGCCCTAAACTCTAAACCCAAAACCCTAAACCCTTAAACCCTAAACCCTTAAAACCTAAACCCAAAACCCTATAATATCCTATAAACCCTAAACCCTAAAGCCGAAACCCCCAGCCTGCCCGGAATCTGTCGCTGCGTACACAATCCACCCGGCATTCATGAAGCCTGGGATGGTGTGTACATTGGGCTTAGGGTTTAGGGGCAGAGCTTACTTTCAGGTGCCAGAAGCGGGCTATGTAGCAAGCAAACAGCACGACTATACAGGTACTTAGGACCCTAAACATCGAACCCTAAACCAAAAACCCCTAAACCGTAAGCCCTAAACGCGCAAACCCCTAAACCCTAAACCCTAAACCCCTAAACCCTAAACCCCTAAACCCTAAACCCCTCGACCCCTAAACCCCTAGACCCCTAAGGCTTATTATTTTTAGGGGCTCAGAAGCCTGAGCCATCCCGCGCACATTGCTCCGCTTCGGGCCCCTCGACGGGCTGGATAATCTCAAGCCTCTTGTGGTCTAAGGTTTAGGGCTTGAGGGTTTGGGGATTTAGGGGTTTAGGGATTCAGGGTTTGGGGATTTAGGGGTTTAAGGTTTAAAGTATAAGGGTTTTGGAGTTTAAGGGTTTCGAGGTTCAGGGTTTGGGGTCCAGCCTCTTGTGGGGCAACGTAGGGCTCAACCTCCACGTTTTCACGTAGGTGTGGCCGTTGAGAGAATACTCAGTGACCTCTTCGGCGGTTCGGAGCCCTTGAAAGATCATAAGTTGCATTCCTTACGACGAACCTATGGGAGTTTCCGAAAATGAGGGTACCTTGTTTGGGGTCCTTGTACTAAGGATCCTACTATTTAGGGTCCTATATTAGGGTCCCCTATTTTTGGAAATCCCCATATTCATATTACATATTCTGCTAAGAGAAATGCGTATTTTCATGAGCGGCCAAGCCTGTGTGCCTCCTTGGTTTAGCAGAAGCAGCTTGTTCTTGCCGGGGAGGAAGCCAATGCTCTTGAATGAGAAGTCAATCTCTGCTGTTGGAACAGCGGTCTCCAGACTGACTGTCCTCAGGCCTAAGATCCTGGGCTGTTCTTGAAAGCAGTTTAAACAAGCAGACGGATAACACAAGAATCAATAAATGATCTTACTCTACTGTGCCAAATAAAGAAAAAGCGTTCAACAACTGCTTGTTTCTCACTATTCTCTGTGGTAGAATACCAAACAAAAGAAAAAACCCTGAACCCTGAGCCTATTTCAAGGCCCGGTATCTGCCGGGTCTTGTTTCGGCTCGCCTCCTCCTCCTTGCGCTCCAGAGCTGACTCCATCTGATGCTCTCCCAACAGCTCGACTTCAGATTCAAAAATCGCCTCGGCTTTGGGGCTGAAAGCTTTAGGGTTCAGGGTTCCGTTGCCTGATGTCTGAAACCCAGCTAAAGGTTAAACGTCTAGCTTCTTTTCTGTAGCTTGCCTAGCTTATGAGAAAATGCCCCTAAACCCTACACCCCAAACCCTAATCCCAAAGAATTATAACGGTTCAAGTCCTGAGGACCAGCCGAAACAGAGCCAAGTTGCGAACTGGTCTCCAATCCTGGGTCTTGCTCTAGAACTTAACGAAACACTATTAGGGTTTAGGGTTTAGGGTTCAGGGTTTAGGGTTCAGGGTTTAGGGTGAACTTAACTTGAACTTACCAGAATTAGGGACCCCGATTTGTTTGCTTTTCCCTAAACCCTCAAATCCAAAATCGCGGACTGCAATTAAGCTGCCTAAAACCCTACACCCTGAACCCTAAACCCAAAAACCCTAAACCCCTAAACCCCCACACCCTGAACCCTAAAGCCTAAAACCCTAAACCCTAAATCCCACAAAAATCCAAAAGCCCTGAAGCCTTAACAAGAGCCCAGGATCATCAGATGTCTACCGTCTGCACTGCAAGCCAAGGCGGAGGGCCGGAAGAAGTCGTGGGGCCAGTCCGTCTGCACCGGTTGCAGCACCATTCCTAGGGGTTTTAGGGTTTAGGGGGTTAGGGTTTAGGGGGGGTTAGGATTTAGGCTACATTCAATCCAGGGCTTAGGGCACCATTCCTAGGGGTTTAGGGTTTAGGGGTTTTGGGTCTTGGAGTCTAGGGGCTTACCGTTTAGGGGTTTAGGGGTTTTAGGGGTTTACGGTTTAGGAATTTAATAGGGTTTAGGAGTTTCGGGTTTTTGGGGTTTAGGGGTTTCGGGTCTTGGAGTTTAGGAGCTTCGGGTTTAGGGTTTAGGCTTAGGGTAAATTGAATCTAGGGCTTCGGGTTTCGGATGTTACGGGAATTATCAGATTAGGGTAGCTGGGTCAAGGGAAGTGTCTAAACACTCCTGAAACCCCCTCTGGAAGAGTCGTACGCAAAATACCTCTACACCTCTTATGCCCTAGACCCTAAACCCACACACCCTACCAAAACTCCTCCCAGTAAACCCCAAAACCTAAACCCGAAAACACCTGCAGAACACTCAAGGCTCGATCATAGAGCTCCCTGGGGGCAATGGGCGAGTCGTAATACTTCGGATCGAAGAGGAGGACTCCGATGGTGACCAGCCAGACGCCCATCTGAGCCTGGGTCTTAGCTAGGGCTCTAAAAAGGTTTGTATGAAACGATTTTAGGGTTGCTACAAGGGTTGGAACTGGGTATTCGGGGTTTAGGGTTTAGGGTTTAGGCAAAACGACTTACTGTTTAGGTTTTAGGGTCTTGGGTGTAGGCTGTCGGCTTGAGGGTCTAGGAGATAGCATTCTAAACGGATGTTATAAGGGTTCGAGAAGGATTATATAAGGGCTTTACTATTTACAAGGGTTTTAAAACCCTAAACCCCAAACCCCTAGACCCTAAACCCACCCTAAACCGTTCCATGAGGGTGGGCTACTTTGGCTTGAGGCTTCATTGCGGTTCCAACAGAGCAGTTTCAGGTTAAGGTGGCTAATTCTTAGGCTTGCGGAAAGGGTTCCAAGGCAGTCGTCGGGTTGCCAGGGTGTTGGATTTCAGGGTTTAGGGTTTAGGGCTTTAGGGGTTTAGGGTTTAGGGCTTAGTGTTTTGAGGTTTACGGTTTAGGGTAAAAAGCTTTCAGGGTTTAGGGTTGAGGTGTAGGGCTTAAGGGGCATCTTGCTTGGCTTTGGGTTTGGACCCTAAAGGGCTCACAGGGAACAAGCTGCAGGCTACGCCCGAAAAACACTGCAAGCAACTTGTGTCAAAAATGCAGGTGTCCGTTTAAAGTAGTGTTCAAGTACTCTTCCAGACAAGAGCTAGTAGTGATCATGAAACAGTTCCTGATCTCCGATCTGGCTATATGGCTATATGTTGCAGGGGTGGCCAGTTGCTCAGCGTCGGGCGGACAAAGAAGCACTGTAGTAGCCAAGAGAGGTTCCAAGCCCTGACAGCCCTACATCCTGCATCGTAAAAACCGATATCCAGAACCCTAATTTCCCCCTAAACCCTAAACCCTAAACCCTAAGGCCACACTACAATATCATGGCCAAGGAGCCAAGCAGGACCAACGGATGCACTTCCACGGTAGCAGGCTGCTGCTGAGCTCCACATCCTTACTTCTCCAGCTCCCGCCGAAATGCTAAGCCCAAATCCCTTAACCATAAACCCCCAAAAGGGTGCAAGCTACAGAGTCTTATAGTATCCCAAGAATACCGCGTAACCAAGAATCCTAAGCCCTGAACCCTAAAGTCCCAAAAAAAGATTAAAAGTTCGTGCTCCACTACTAAGCATCTTCAACCCAAACCCCAAGCCCCTCATATAGTACCCCCAAAAGCCTAATCAATTAGTGTTTATAGGGGGTAAAAAAGGGGCAAAACATCACCTGCTCCACTACTAAGCATCTGGATTTTCCGGCATGAGCTCAAAGGGCAACGCTTCCGCCGCAAGAACCGGCTCATCGGAGCTCCTGCGGTTTAAAGCTTAAGGTTTAGGGAGAGTTTGGGGGTTAAGGGTTTAGGGGGGCTCCTGCAGACCCAGAGAACCCAATTTACACCTTAATTTAGGAACATATGCCTTAAAGTTTTAGGGGGCCTTCATATTGTGATTTAAAGTATATATTCCTTAATTCAGGGGTATTGGGTTCTCTGGAGGGGCTTCCCTTCTTCCGTGCCCACAAAAGGTTCTAGAGCTGACTTTGCTGGGATTTGAAGGTTCAGAGGCCTTTCATAACCAGAATAAGTTTCTGGGGTATGTTGTGGTATACTTTACATGGGATCCATAAGGGGGGGAGGGTCGTCTAACTAAATCTCTCGACATGTCCATTTTTGAAACCAGGACCATGGCTCCCTGGAGTTTGGGGGATGGTTCTTGATTTTGAAGCCCTTTGTATGGTTAAGCTTCAGTCTTGGGAAGATTACTTGGAGGATCGTATGGGACTTAGCAGCTAAGGTTATAAATTCAGGTAACTCTACTTTTCGCTACCTAAGATCCCAGCTAGCGTGCTTACAGCCGTACTTACTAAGTCACATGCTCCTCCTAGTAGACCTTGACCAGAATTCAGAGTCTTCGGCGCCTTTACTCAAAAATATGCCCTAGATTCAAGACAGCAGCTTCATATGGTTGATCTAGGGTATAAAGATAACCGTATCCCCAAAGGAGGCGGCCTTTATAGATCCCATTCTACTGGAACCCTTCTCACAAGGATCGCTAATCAGGCATCCTTGCTAGTAGCAGACCTCTACATCGTTGAATCAATGGGTGTTGAGCTCTCTGAAGACTCGAAGGATCATGGGACTTAGCCGAAAGGTTAGTTGCAGGGTTATAGGTACCCCACCTGGCATTACCAGAAAAAAAAAACTACACAACTGTTCTTACAGCCTACTAAAACCGTAAAACTTAAACCCTAAGTCTTGTAACTTAAACATTCAACTAGCTAAGTCCAAAGCCCATTAAACTGGTTAGACGCACACTTCGCGGCTCAGTCTCCTTGGTGAGTCATCGATGCGCAGCTGCAGCTCCTGAACAAACTCGCTACAAGCAGGGTTGAGGGTCTCCCTAAACCCTAAACCCTAAAACCCTAAACCCTAAACCGGTCTACCTGGGCCCTAAAGAGCCTACCTTGTCAGGGTTCCTTATGATGATTTCTTTACATAAGTCCTTGAAAAGGTAGGTTGCTTGGGATTAAGACCTGAAGAGTTCACAAGGTTTAGGGGCTTTTGATTTTGGCCGAAAGAGTTTGAGGTTCCAGTTTTTCACAAGGATTATATCATAACCCTAAACCCTAAACCCTAGTTTATATCAGGGATGAGGGTTCAGGAGGTCTCAGGTAGAGGCAGCTTAGAACTCATACCTTACGGTGTGTCACTTCACCGACCCCCGGGGAGGTTTCAAAAAAGTAGATCCCTTAATGGGGGGGGTTCCTGTAATGAAGAGCCTTCAGAAGTATAGCGTCCCAAATTTCGAGGCTCTTCTTTCTAGATGCTTCCGTAGGGTGTAGGGTTTAGGGGTTTGGGGGTTTTGGGTTTAGGGTTTAGGGGGGGTTTGGGTTAAGCTGCTAAACTCTGAAGAGGCCGCCTCCAGAGAAGCGATGAGACGCGAAAGGTCGATGATCTGTCCACCTTCTGGCATGGACCTCGACACTGAGCCCTTCATGGGTTAGAGTTTAGGGTTTAGGGGTTTAGGGGTTTAGGGGTTTAGGGTTCTAGACCCTAAACCCTAAACCCTACAGGACCCATAAGGGAACCCTTAAAGGGACCCGTAAACCCTAAACTCCACAAAAGTAAACCTATCTGACCCTGAACCCTAAACCCTAGACGCTATGGCCTGAACCCCAAACCTTAAACCCTGAATAAGGGCATACTCTTGGGCCTTAATACTTGAGTTGGGACTGTTGTGGCGTGTGAAGATAAGCATGATTTACTTCTGCTTCTTCTGGGCCCTGCAGATCCTTGAAAAACTACTGCATTATACACGCCACAACAGTCCTTTCTGTAATACTTAGAATGGGGCTCTCTTAGAAGGTATCTTTAAAGTAAGTCTTACCCTGAACCTTAAACCCTGACTCCTGAACCCCAAATCCTAAAGCGGCACCTTGAACCCATAGGCACCAGCCTGCGTTGCTAGAAGAGTATTCCTTGGTATGCCTGAACATGAAAATAGTAGTAGAAGAAGCCCTAAATCCTAAACCATGAACCCTAAACCCTAAATCCTGAAGCCCTAAACCCCAAACCTTAATACAAGCACCGAGTGGCCACACCACCTGACCCGATCTGCAATCGATCCAACAGGTCTCCTCATTGCGGCCTCTGCAACGTCATGTCAGAGAGGGAGGTTTGTCAGAGGGAGTTTTTCCTTTTTCAGGGTTCCCTTTAAGGCTCCTACAGGGTTGAGGCTTTAGGGGTCCTTTTAAGGGTTCCCTTAAGGGTCCTATAGGGTTTAATTCGGTGGTTTAGGGATTTCGGGTTGGCTAGCGTTTGGGGCTCTCCATGGGCTCTGTGGGGGGGTGGTCACAAAGAGTTTTTGGAGGGGTTCCGGGTTTAAGGTTTAGGGTTTATGTGTAGGATTTCGGGTTTCAGGTTTAGGGTTTATGTGTAGGGTTTCGGGTTTCAGGTTTAGGGTTTGGGGTCATTCTGAGAAGCTTGCCTTCCAAAAAAGATGTCTGCAGCCAAGCCGGAAAGTTCCTCAGCTTCTGTGCAGCAGATGCGTTTGGGATCTCTCTCTGCTCCTAAACTGTAAAGATCCTATCGCACTAACTCCTAAACCCTAAATATCCTAAAGCTCTACAGTAACTCCTAAACCCTAAGCCTCGAAAATAGGACCTCACCGGACCCCACGGCGAGAAGGTCACACCGCCAAGGCGAGATGGCGAAAGGAGTGACTGCATTTTCGAGTTTAGGGGTTTAGGGTTTAGGGTTTGGGGTTTAGGGCTCTAGGTTGTGGGTGAGGGTTTCGGGTTTGGGGTTTGGGGTTTAGGCCTTTGGGTTTAGGGGTTTAGGGTTCCAGCTTTCGGTTTGGAGTTTTGGGTTTAAGGGGTTCAGGCTCTGGGTTGTGGGTGCGGGTTTTGGGTTTAGGGGTTCAGGTTTTGGGGTTTAGGCCCTTGGGTTTTGGGTTAGGGTTTTGGGTTTAGGGGTTCAGGTTTTGGGGTTTAGGGCTTTGGGTTAGGGTGTTGGGTTTAGGGGTTCAGGGTTTAGGTTTAGGAGGGAGAGAGAGCGAGAGACAGACGGACAAACAAACAGCCAAGGTTTAGGGTTGAGGGTTTAGAGTTGGGCCGGGCTTAGTCGGACAGACCGAGATGAGGGGGGAGAAACCGATAGCTGGAACATCAGACGGACGGACCGACTCGCAGATAGCAAAACACATATTGGAAACACCGACATGGGGGTGGCTCTCTACATAATGGAGATCCCTGCACGCACACACACACACACAAACAAACACGGACAGCTGGAGTAATGTAATTCGGGGCCTAAAAAATTAGAATAGGGTTTTGGGGGGTATATTATACTGTAACTATTATAAGGAACACCCCAAAACAAGATAGGTAATTGTTAAGGCCCCTATTTTAGGGAGTTCGACAACGCAGGCAACAGTAGTACAACACGGGACTCAAAATCTGAGCTGCATGCAACCCCGTGCAAGCACACATGCTACTAGTATCAGTGATACGAAATGACTGATGGCCATGTCTTCAAATGTTCAGTAGCTTGACAGCAGTGAAACTGCGCAGAGCCTGCCTACTGATGGCCAACAAGCGCGGACATGCAGACAAAGATGCAAGCAAAGTCACCCACTCGCTCACTCAATCACCAAGACACTCACTCACTCACTCAACCCGAAACCCTAAAACCCTGAACCCTAAACCCGAAACCCTAACCCTGAAACCCTAAACCCTACAACCCTAAACCCTAAACCCTAAAACCCTAAACCCTACAACCCTAAACCCCCAAACACTAGCTGCCTTCGAGGCTCTCGGGACCTTTCTTCTCCCAGTTTTCAATCTGCCGCCCTGCAGGCATAGCCATCTGAGCTTCCAGGTCATGCAGGTGTTCATCCAAGGTGAAGTGCAATTGCTGCAGGTCCTCAGTCCTCCGTGGCTTAGGGGTTTTTAGGGTTTTAGGGTTTTGGGTTTAGGGGTTTAGGGTTTAGGGTTTAAGCTTTAGCGTGTAGGGTTTAGGGCTCGGGGTTTAAGGGTTTGGGGCTCCGGGCTAAGGGTTTTGTTCGGACAGAACCGATCCTTCAGATACGGTTCCAAGACAGGCAATAAGCACAAGTCATTTGCACAGATATCCCGACTTTGTTGGGCTTCAATATAAGGGGATGTATCTATGAGACATCCCTATTTCCAAAAAGATTCCTTTAGAAACGAGCTTCCACGTCACAAATCTAAACCACCCTTAACCCTTTGCTTGGCTGAACCCTAAACCCCAAAGCTCCAATCCCTGAACCCCAAAACCCCAATCCCAAACCCAAAACCGCAATCCCAAAACCCCAAAAACCGCAATCCCTAAACCCAAAACCCCAACCCCTAAACCCCCGAAACCCCAACCCCTAAACCCATAAACCCCAATCCCTGAACACCCCAAGTCCTCGACCCTAAACCCTAAACCCCAAACCTACCCACAGGCCCCTAAGTAGTTCCTTTTTATGGTTTATAAGGTAATCCCAAAAAGGAACTACAGCCAAAGCTCTCTTCCGGGGACAGATGCGCCGCCATTTCCGCAGTGAGAAGACGCGACAAGTTTTTGAGAACTTGCTTGGCTTCCTTTCTTGGAGGGTGTAGGGTTTAGGATTTATGGCGCTTCGGGTTTGTAGGGTTCAGGGTTTAGGATTTATGGGGTTTAGGGTTTAGGATTTATAGGGTTTAGGGTTTAGGCTGTAGGCTTAGGGTTCAGGGTGTGGGGAGTACGGTATGTACAAGCGATTGAAACAGGGTTTATACAGGGGCGCAGGGCTTTCAGGGCATACCCAGAGAACCCAGTACCCCTCAATTAAGGAATATACCTTAAGTCATAATTTTACGGCCCCTATAATTTAAGGAATATTCCTTCATTAAGGGGTATCGGGTTCTCTGGGTATGGCTACTTGTCCAGCTTCCTAGAAAACCCTAAGGCCTCTCAGTAGAGAATATAACAGTGGTACTGTTGATGATATAAATCCTCAGCAGTACCTTAGGGACCCTAGGCTATGGGAATTTTGGCCTATTCCTTATTATGGGTAATGCAGGGTTTATATCATCAACCCTAGTTCTCCAAAGTAGAGTGGGTCCTTTCTATAATGGGTGCCGCCTTTTTTTGGCTCCTGAAAAAAGGACCTACTTTAGGTAATTGACCATATCGCCTAAACCCTAACCCTAAAACCCAAGAAAGCATTAAAGCCTTGCATATTCGACGACTAAGCTTCCTTGTGCGCGGCGACTAAGCCTTTTTGGTCTGGACGTCTCTCCATGGCTTCATAGAGCCTGAGCTTTGTTGGACCAGCTTTGCAAACTTATAGCTTGCTCCTATAACCTCTTCTTCCGTCTTCAGGTATACGAAAGACTAGATGTGGGTTTAGGTTTAGTGTGTAGACCTCCACCCTAAACCCTAAATATTCTCAAGAACGGCCAAAGAGCATCTTCTCCGGATGCTCCCACTGAGCACAGTCAACTGCACGGCGGACTGCCGCAGCGCTGAGGTGTCGGCTGTGCCAGCCAAACAAATCCTAGGGTTTAGGGTTTAGGTTTTAGGGTCCCCA